TGTACTTATAAATTATTAATTAGATTAAATATTTACAATAATTATAATAGTTATATGCCATTATGAAGTGTTATTTTTATTCATTAAATTTATGTAATTCTCATTTTAAAAATATTGAAGCTGATGCAGCCAACACTTTATTTATACAATTTCACTTTATTTATCAATTATTTTGAGGGAAAAAGAGATTTTTCGACGAAAAATTCGAAATACAACTTCATTGTTCAACTCGACAAAACCGCTATGAAACTAAACGGCGTTGGGTCCATTTTAATCCGGACATTCAGAAAATAATTCGTTTTTCATAGTTCCAAACAACACGCTGGCTCCGAGTGACACGGATCGAAACTTTTTGTTATTTTAACCGAATCAAAGCGAAACGCTAAGCGGTTTCCGGCTAGTATGAACGCGCGAGTAAAATTTCGAGGTTGGTTTTTTCGACGATTTCTGCATAAAAATTATATCACCTTCAAAACTCCTGAACTTGTCCCGCAATGGAATAAACCGCAATGGAAGGGAATTCCGCGCGATACTAGTTACTTCGGAGCAAAGAGAAAGTTGGCGGGAAGAATCTACCCATAAATAATATTGCGGGACGTCTGCAATACATAAATTGGAAGGACTTTTGACAGCGCGTCGGATAAGACCTGGGGTGCGGGAGACCAGAAGGGGGTCTAGGGTTCTTATCGTGTTTGTAATCGGCTTTGCTCCCTTGGACGGGGGAGCATGTCCAGAATGGTGACACGGCCGCCAGTTACATTTAATTCCCCATTTCGACATCTCCAAATTGAACACACGATAATTGAAAACATATAAATCACTAGTATTAGAAATACGAAAGCGAATTCTTTTTATTTTTATTACATTTTGAAGTAAATTCCGTGAAGGTGAAACAAAAACAGAGAGTAACTTTATTCTTTTAAAAGAAATATGACGGACAAAGTGACTTATGTGTCTTAAAATAAATACCATGATCATGCAAAAACATATGAAAATTCACAAGCAAGGGTACACCTTGGAGGACAATGGCGGACAAATGTTGAAAACAGAATGAGTGACGGGTCTTTTGTCATGCAAAATTCACCGACAGTCTTAGGGGAGCTATTATTAATAATTTAAGGCGACTTGCCGACATTCCAACGGTCACTTTTTCATAACGTCAGCCCCGTAGCACGAAACAAAATTTGCTACTATGATATATTTCCTAAGACGAAACATATTTTATTTAAGAAGAATATTTCGAATCTTATACCTTTAAACGAGCAATTCTTGTATATATGTAATCGGAATCTCGGAAACGGCTCCAGCGTTTTTCATGAAATTTAGTATGTGCGTAGATTCGGGGGCAAAAAATCGATCTAGCTAGGTTTCATTTTTAGAAAATGTCCTTTTATCCGGGTTTTCAGGGAATGAAAAATATCATTCGAATATATTAGTAAATTTCGAATTCGGAAAAAAATTCGGAATTCGTTAGTAAATTTCGCCGAAAAAAATGTTATAATAGCTCGGTCGGTAATCGGACGGCCCCGAAACAGAAGGCCGCGGTTCGTGTCACGATCATTTACACACTCATTTTTTTTTACTTTTTTTTCTATACCAGATCATTGCTTTCTTTTTTTTTAATTTCCAAAATATACAAATTACCAAAAAAAAGCTCCAGGTATTTATTATTTATGTACAGTTCCTCTTATAGTTGTGATATATTCATTATACGTATGCTTTCGCTGAATTTTTAGTAATTGTGTAAAGTTTTATCTCAACTGGGCAACCGAAGTTCAAAGCCCTATGTCGGCGCAAATGAAATTATTAATTAATTGCAATTTTAAGCGCTTATTTAACACGCGTTAGGCGGTGAAGGAACATCATCGTCGCGAGGCTCGTTTGTTTTCGATATTTATCAGTGTTACGAACAAGGAACGAGTGGACAATTCACTATCATCTATTTCCCTTTTTTTATGTGAAATGTTGCCAAATAAGCGGACGGTTCACCTGATGGTGAGTGAATACCGCCGCCCATGGTGATCTGCCACACCCGAGGGTTACAGATGCGTTGACAACCTTTTGAAAATTGTGCTCCGTGCTACCACACTCACCAGACGAAACGTGAAAGCATTTGTCATACTTCCATTTTACGTGGAAGGAAAGGAAGAATGCTACTTTTCCTACCAAAATGTGAATATCTGAGGCCGAGCCAGCACGTTTACCGCCTGGCAACATAACTGGTTGCGGGCTCTATTGTTTTAATCACTCTTCTGTCAAGTCCCCACGATGCAGTGAAGTCTAGTATTCGGACTTGCACGTTTCGATTGGCACCGTGTTTCATGTGACTGGCACACAGTAGCCGTCACGCTACCCAATTAATGGGGGCAATTCGAAGAAATCGCCTACTAACGCATCCATTACGCGCCAATTACCGACTCCGCAGAGTACAGGCGCGATGGGCAACAACAATAACGCATTGATTATTTACAAATTGATCTAATCCGACGAACACGGGTATGCTTTTAGCGAACCATTTGACTTTGTGAGCTCTTTTAACTTCGTTTATGGAGCGCGATCGTTAACGAATTACAGACGCACTTTCGCGACGCGCGTTATTTATTATTGTCGTTTTCGCTTCCGTCAGCTGTCGATCGCGATAGACTGTGACGGTTAAACTGATAAAGCCAGTGCGATTAAGAACCTTTTATAAATGTTGTGCTTGTATACTTGTAACGTGAGTACCTAAATTTACTGGATCGCAGACAATACCATATCACAAGTCCCCTAATATTCATGTATAATATATAGATAGGTATATATATATATAGGTATATATATATATATAAATGATCCCTACTTCCCTTGGTCACACCATCACGTGTGAACGGCTGGACCGATTCCGCTAATTCTTTGAATTTCGAGTGATTCAAGATGAAGATTTATATGTATAATACATTGCACCCGTGCGAAGCCGGGGCGGGTCGCTAGTAATAAATAAATTAGACGTACCGGGGCGAAGACTACCCGAGTGGCGTAGTGGTCAATGAATCTCTCTTACGCCAAAGGGTTTGGGATGGATTCCCGCTACTGGAAACATTGTGTGATGAAAATATGTAGCGTTTTTTGGCGACCAGTTGTTTATATATCTATAACATGTATATATTTAGAAAAGAAAAGAGTTTTTGAATATGTTTATCGTAATCTGATAATATTATCCTATGTTGTAAGAGCATTTTACAACCATAAATTTCACGTGTGCAAACACCCAGATCCGAATCAATTATGTGTGGTATTGCTATAGAAAAAGTATAAATGTTTCGAATATTCAAAACTTTTAGTGTATCGGATTATAATTTTACAAAACAACTCAGGCTCTCCTTGTTCAATAAACAAAAGTTGTGTTCAGTTCAAAATCAAAATTAAAGCAAAATGAAATACTAATTTTAACTTAGTGACTATCTTTTAATTTTAATTTATCAAATTTTTAATTTCACATCGTATTTTTCACTGTATTTGATATTTTTTTTGTTCTCTTGTCTAAATCTTCTTTTGAGTCTTCTTTGTGTTATTATCGTTATTACATTACATTATCAAATACAACTTGAACAAAATATGCCAACTACCGCTAATATTTGTAAATGATGATGCAAAGCTTTACTAAGGTATAAGCTGAAAATCAGCACTGAGAAATTCTCAGAAATCGCTGAGCTTTTTTTAAACCTTTTTGCCAAAATGTTATTTATATAGTTTTTTTGTGTATCGTAGTTTGTTTTATATCTTTTTTTTTTTCGTATTTTTCTATGTAATTTTCTAATTTTTTTGGGTTATGGCAAATAAAGTATTATTATTATTATTATTGAAAAAACCTTTGTGATCGTAAACAAAATGTGAAAGCCTTCGTGCTCACAATGCTCGAGGATACAGTAGCAAAAAGGTCGTGTCGTTTATGTGTGTATGTAATTGGTTAACGACTATGATAATTCACTCCCTAGTTTGTGCTCCTTTGACCGATGTTGATTGGATCCGTTGTGACTAGGCTGCAGCGTTCGTTCCGACAATTTTCGAGGGAAGACGGAGTTTTGGCGTTAATCGATCATCCGGAACTTTGGACGCTAAATTTCATTCGTCCGCTACGTAGTATTGTTAATACTACGTATACAGCTTCTACTAGACATAGAGTGTATCTTATTTTTATTCCGCTTCAAAATAATAAATTATACGACGTGTTTACAAGTAACAAAAAAAGATTTTTCAATTATTATTTTTCATTTATACAAATCATGGTTGAGATAGGATCTCAGTGGGCTAATTTAATAAGATTATTATTACGACATTAATTCAGTGATATTTCATGAAATATTTCTTCTTCTTCGTAGCTCTAACATACTTTAAAAGTGATTGACTTTACGAGATTTATTTACGGATTACCACTATTACGGTGGTAGGGCCACACAACAGTGTTCGCTGTTGCACGAATGGGTAGGTCCGTCCGGGTTAGTACCACGACCACTTCTGCGTTTCGTCTGGTGAGTGAGGTAGCCGGGGCCCGCATTATTAAGAGGTGTCATCGCATCTGCAACCCTACGGGTGTTGCAAATGTCCATGGGCAGGCCGTTATCACTTAACATCAGGTGAACCGCCAGCTCGTTTGCGACTTTCTCACATAAAAAAAGATAATTCTTGGAACAAAAATGATTAGAGCTTTTTATTAAATTAAAAAGCTTTGCTTCATTAACACTATAATAAACAGTATTTGAATTTCATTAGGGATTTGACTAAATTAATGATAAATAATGAATTATAAAGAATTTAATTGAGCTATTGACTAGAGCCAATAGCTCAAGTCAATTCATTCCACTTCACCGATAATAATCGTAGGCTTCGATGGAAAAAATACACCTTACGGGGAGGTAGCAAGCGACGTGCGAACGAAAAACATTAGAGAAAATTTTAATTGGCCTCGTTAAAACGGTAGTGGCGATTCAATTTATTCCCCGGCAGCCCTATTACGACCCCGCATGCGGTGCGGGCGCGGCCGCGCTGCATGCGGGCACCGCGCGCTTAACGCTCCAACGGAACAGCTTTACACCAGTCGCTACTTGTCGCACAAAGGCACCGACCGCATAAGCAGGCTCCTAAGCTGCACGGAACGTCCTTTGGCCAAGAACAAACGGAAAAAAGCTCATTCGCCCGCGATTCTCTGCCCGTTATTTGAAATGAACACTGATGAGTTTTGCCCATTCTCACCGCTAGAAAGTTGTATACGCCTGTGAACGTGAACGCTTGTAATAGGTAATACATAATATATTAATATCTACGGTGTTATTGATTTAGGAGCGCAGCTATGCTCGGAACATTAACACAAGTGTTAACAATGAAGAATTTCCGACCTTTAACACCTTCAATTCTAATAAATTAGAACACCGATAAAATTCGAAAAATGAACAATTTATCTATTATCTTCTTAGTTAAGAAATAGTAAGCATTGTTACAATTTATATTCATCTCCAAGCATCTTTGGTTCCATTAGTTAGAAACACTACCTGCTTTTATAAAATAAAATTATGTATGAAATGTATAATAAAACTAACGACCATTTTACAATACAATGACTAATTTTCGATTCCATTACCGGAATTGCTTTTCCAAAACGTTACCGCGTATTCCCTTACCTAATCTCTATCCAGCGATGATAAATTAACCTTTCTATTTGTAATAATTAATTGAAATATTACGAAACATGACGAAGCGGCGCCACAGAGCAGCGAAAAAGCGGTCTGAGTTTTGATTACACAAGTAGAGCGGCTATATCAACGATTCAATTAGAAAATGCATCAAAATAAACCGCCTACCACGCTTTCCGTACCGAGCCCGTTCGATGGGGTCCCACCCTATAGAAGGGGTCGTTGACCCCACGTCCGACTCTCATGTTACGTTCATTAGAAATTCCTCTATCTCTTTTATTCGGCATTTTGCCTCTCGCTCCTTTAAATAAACAGGACCAGAATTTTCGACATAGAAGCGTAATTATTGACTGATAGTGATATTTTTATTATCAAATAATAACTTGTGAAATAAATACGGTGTCGATATAATAAATTGGATCGTACGATGAAATCATACAAAGGCGCTCCCTAAATTTTAATTTGTATTTTCAGCTTTGATGTGGTATCGAATTGGATTTCAGATTACTCTACAATCAAATTACTTTTTTATAAGCTACCGTATATTTATATCTAGTTATCCGTTTGTTTAGGGCATTTGCCCTATTCATTTACGTGATGGATATTTCTCGTAAAAAAGAGAACGTTTTTAAAATCAAGTGCAATGGAACGATTCTCAGAGCTATGGTAAATAATATCTATCACGTTCTAAACCTTCTTATAAAGAATGTATGATAATGCCATCTATTGACAATTTCTTTAAATGTAACCGTTATTATTCACCCTAAAAGAACTTTCATTGATAAATACTTATTTGCTCATTATTTGATTACTATTCAGTGGGCGATCACGGTATATAGACATTAATTTTAATAAACGACAATATAATATATGCCAAACGGCGTTCTAGTATACAGTGTGTCGTTACCATCGCGACAATAAATGAACACACATATAGGGGATAACCCTCCGTCCGATAGGTATGCCAGCAATGCTGGACGAAGAGAAGGCCGAATGCCTGGCCTGACAGCCTAGAGTCTCAATGCTCCCCCAGTCTGCTTCCGATCGACCCCGAACACCTCCGCAAGGTGAACGAAGAGGTAGAAAGGAAAGCTTTAGAGCCACTCCGCGATCCCGTTCCCCCGGTCATGTGCCTAGAACTAGTAGAGACCATTCAAAAACTACGCCCCCGTAAAGCACCAGGCTCAGATGGTATCACCAATAAGGTGACCAAGCTCCTCCCTACTAGCATCCTTCAGATACTAGTATTAATTTACAACGCGGCCTTAACCGAAGGCTTCGTCCCATCCGAGTGGAAGGAAGCCGATGTCATAGGGTTCCTCAAACCCTCTAAACCCGCCACTCTCCCAACCTCATATCGTCCAATAAGTCTTCTCAAAACATTTGGGAAGATCTTTGAAAGACTAATATTAGCCCGCTTAAGATCCCTTATGGACACCAAAGGGCTCCCCATCCCAGAGCAGTTTGGATTCAGAGCCAAACACTCGTGTACCCACCAAGTGCACCGCATCACGGAGCACATATTAACCAAACGCCAACGTGGACTGAACACCGGTGCACTCTTCCTGGACGTGGCAAAAGCGTTCGACAAAGTCTGGCACAACGGGCTCGTATACAAGCTATACGGGTACGGAGTGCCTGACCGTCTCGTATGCATAATACGAGACTTCCTAACGAATCGAACCTTTCGCTATCGCGTCGAGGGCGTGTGTTCGACTACGCATCCCGTTCGAGCCGGGGTGCCCCAAGGGTCGGTGTTGGGCCCAGTCTTGTTCACCCTCTACACCAATGACATGCCGCGTGTCAAAGATGTAGAACTTGCTCTTTTTACCGACGACACCTGTATCTATACCACAGGCAGAACACCCGAATTGATCCATCGACGCCTCCAAGCTGCGGCCATCACCATCGGTGACTGGTTTCGGCAATGGAGGATAGAGATCAATCCCGCCAAAAGCGCGGCCGTCCTTTTCGCGTACAAAAAGAACAGACCCATACCACCCCCAATTAAACTCTTGGACAGCCCAGTACCATGGGTTAATAAAGTCAAATATATAGGCGTCGTCCTCGACTCCCAGCTTAAATTCACCCAGCACGTGACCCAGGTCAGGAACCGGGCGGCCTTCGTACTCGGTCGCCTCTACCCGCTCCTCAATAAAACGTCAAAAATGTCCCTTCGGAACAAGGTGACCTTATATAAGGCAGTAGTTCGCCCTATCATGACGTACGCGAGCCCCGTCTTCGCTCACATTGCTCCGAAGCAAATACACCGGCTTCAGGTGATTCAAAATCGATTCTTGCGCAGAGCCACGGGAGCACCCTGGTTCATGCGCAATATCGACCTTCATGTCGATCTAGAATTGCCCACCATCGCGCAATTCCTGAAGTCGGCGTCGCGCCGATATTTCGATTCCGCCGCCGCGCATCCCAACCCACTTATCGTAGGTGCCGTCACCTACAGGCCCTTGCCGCTAAATATTTTCCGCCGCGATTACCGAAGACCGCGTCACGTTCTCGACTTCCCTGACGATGAGACGACTATCGCCATCGAAAGGATCAAAAAACTCAAGAAACACACCAACACACACCGCACTCGCCGGCGAGTGCGGCAAACATATACTAGGTTCCGCCACGTACCTAGCAGGTTTTCCCCTATTAATGATAGAAGCGTTGCTGGAGTTTCTTCCGCCACTTCTTCTCCCAGCGCCAACGCTCTCCGAAATGGTAGTAATGTTAGCACTAGTAATTCCCCCAGTCAGATAATAGCTACCGATCGAGCCGAGGTCCGGCCCTCTCGGGCACCCTCGAATCGGAATGCTAAACGCGTGCTGAGTGACAGCCCAAGCCGAGGTCCCCTCTCGGGGACCCTTGAGCCTGATCACTTCATGGAGCGCCCGCCAAAGCGCCCTAAGAGCTTGGCGGCCTCCCAAACCGGTAATAATAATAGCGTGACGGCCCGAGCCGAGGCTCCCCCGGGAGCCCCCGAGCTTAGTCACCATAACGCGTAATAATAGTACGCCGAGGTTCAGGCTAGGCGCCTCGTGCGCCAGGCCACCTCAAGTCCGTCGGATCTGTAAAGGCCCCCTAAGGCCAACAGTGGCTCATCCAGCCCAAAAAAAAAAACAAAAAGCGATAACTTTTTAAAGTTGTATTAAACATTTAAATTCTTTAAACATCAATATTTACAGAGTTATTAAATTTTCCAAAACAAATAATTTTAGAACACCCTCACCTATAAAAGCGTAACGTAAAGTTCATTTGTAAAGGTCACGAAGCATATGAATGGGTTGAATGAATTTAAAAGAGACAAAACATACTGTTAGAAGGAGAGGCTTGTAATACGACGCTGTTCCGCGAGTTGTATAGGATGTTAAAAATTTTGTTTCTTTTTTACTTAATTACTTTGTTTAAAAAAAAATTTAATTAGGGATTTTGTTTAACGTTAATATTTTTTTATGATTATTGACACGTAGCGTTAGACGTGTGTTCATTTATTGTCGCAGGCGTATATATATATATATATATATATATATTATATATATATATATATATATATATATACGCCTGCCAGGAGTGTCCATCAAATCATGGCGCGGAAAATTAAAAAAGCATTTTTCTGGCCACTGGGGCTACGAACGTCTCAACATATTTTCACATTGTTGCCGCAGGGCGAGTACACTAAGAAGGTAATATTATACGTGTCTTCTTTAATTTCACATTTTAAAGGTCTTATGACGTCGCTTTAAAATTACGTATATAGTACATTTAAATGCAGTAATATTTTCAAGCAACGACCAACCTTACGCTGAAATTTCCACCGGTAAAAATACCTTGGTTATGCGTTTTCTGAAAGCGTACTCGATGCACTCATTAAAGAAGGAGAAAACATTTCCATTTCACGCCGGTCCACCATGAAATGTCAGTACCTCCTAGGATGAGCTTCAGCCCTGTAGTCTCGGGCTAATAGAATAGAGGTAAGGTATCCCCTGCCTGTCGTAAAAGGCGACTAAAAGGGGACACGGATTGGCAGCAGCATAAAGTGGTCTCGTGCTGCTGCAAGACGGTGAGGGAATCGGGGAAGGTTTATCCTTTTCCGAGGCGTGCTCACGCGCAGTACTGAGTGACACCGGTGCGTTCCGTAGGAGATCCCGGAATCCCTCCAAAGGTACAGGAGATGGCCACCGAGGGGGTTTCAGTGAATTTTATTTCTTACAGAATTGTCAGTTGCTGTAGGTACAACAGGGACTGGAAACATTCCATACCTGTAACAAATGAAACGTTATCGTTAATACATATTAAATTACATATGGAAAGTACTCTATATATGTAGTAGGACCACCCCCTCACTAGATGGACTGGACGACCATTGCTAATGTGCGGGTCGATGACACAGGTGGCCCAGGATCCTGCTTCGTGGCAGTCTGTGGGGGCGGCATATGTTCAACAGTGTACTCAAACAGGCTGATATGATGATTATGATAACGACGATACGACTTCGCTCTGATTTATAAATTAAGTTTAAGCTTGACGAATAAAAATTAAAACAGTTTTCAAACGACCTTCGACTCAAAGTCGTGTATTGTATC